ACTTGGGTCCCTGTGGGTCACGAGACGCGAGGAGGGTGTGCCAAATCTGGGGTGGGCACACCATGCGAACTGTGTCACTGGGGCCCTGTAGAGCCCCCTTATGGGGCCACCCAAGCGGAGCTCCTGGTCTCCCGAGAGAGCCCCAAGATGATCCGACCCCCACCTGCAAAATCAATGTAACTCCCCCTGGCCCCCACAAACCCCGATAGCCCACCAACACGCCCCAAGCCGCTCTAGAAACGGTAGCGCAGCTGGCCCCGCCACTCACCTGCCTCCTCCTCCTCCTCCTCCCTCCCCTCTTCCACTGGAGTCTTTCTGTGCGGACTTTATCGTTGACTCCTTGACTTGGGCCTAGTTCTGGCCTCTGGCATTGTGCCCCACTGCTCGACTCGACCCTGGCGGTCCTGTTACTCAATTTGCCGTGCTTGGGGCTTAGGGCTGCAGCGTTATTCGCTTCAACCCTCTGGGTGACTTTTCATTGAGGACCTTTCGCGGACTGCATGACCTAACCTGACCTGACCTCTTCCACGACACCCTCCCGGGGCCTCCCCGGGGCGCCCGGGCAACCCAGAGCATTGTCACGAAACCCTCCTGAAGGGTATCAAAACTGCACAAACATTAATTGTCGGAGCTCCGCGCGGATTCCTTGGATCTGTGCTGGGACCTCTCCCTGGCGCGCGGAGAGTGCCAGGGCCAGCGCCGGAGGCGCCGCCAGTGGCGCACCAGCGCAGATCCGAGAAATGCGCGCGGAACTCCGAAGTGTATGGTTACGCAGTTGACTTGTCGAAGAGTAGCACGCCGTCTCAGTCAACAAGCGTGCGATAGCTCAGGCGGCGCCGAAGGACTATACTGAACCCCGACCGATACGCATAAGACTCTACCACTTCACGGACGGACGGAATGGCCATGCATCCTGAAGAACGGTATATGGAAGTCTGAGGCTCCGCGGTGGAGGTAAAAATACCTCCGATACCCAGAAATGCAAAACGCCTTGGCACAATCTATCGACGTGCCTGGTTCCGCGACAGTGGGACCACTGCAGGCATTCTGCGTGGGGAGAAAGATGAGGGCATCGGGCGAGAGTCGACACTGCCCGCGGCAGTTCCAGGAGCAGGAGAGCACCATGCCCTACGGCGCTGCGCCCACGGGGGCTAGGGCAGTTGCCAGGCCGTGCTGGTGAGAGCAATCAGCGTGCCCGTTCGGCAAGAGCAGAAGCGATCTGCTGCTGCCTTTGGATCGCGAGCACGCCCAGGATGACTAGCCCCACGTCTCCGTTCGAGTTGACCCTCACCTCGTAGTTGCCTTCGCTGCCAGGCTTCACCGCGGCCATCGCTGCGCCGCTGGCATCGTGGACGTGGAGGTCGTGCGCGAGGAGGTCATGCACGTGGAGGTCGTGGTCGCCAGAGCCCTCCTGCGCGGGGAGCATATGCTCCAGGCTGTCGAAGCTCAGCTCGGGCGCGCCCGCCGTGTTGGTGACGACGTAGCCTCCCCTCGCGTCCTTCCGCATGGACCCGAACTTCGCTCCGCAGGCCCTCGTGATCTCCATCTCCGGCTCCAGCCCCTCCTGGAGGAGGAGGAGGAGGAGGAGGAGGAGGAGGAGGAGGAGGAGGAGGAGAGGAGGAGGAGGGAGGAGGAGGAGGAGGAGGAGGAGTCGGAGGGGAGGAGAGGAGGAGGGAGGAGGGAGGAGGGAGGGGCGCCAGAGCGGGGGCTGCTGACGCTGGGGCCCAAGGTGTCCCCAGCTCTCCGCTCTCCCTTCTGGAGCCCCTGCGGCCGTCGGGGCCTCGCTGGGGGTGCCTCTGGAGGCCGCAGGGGGCCTGCCTGGAACTCCTGCGGACCCAGACATCGGGCGTCTCGAAAAAATCGAGACAGAGGTTTTTCATAGTTTTTTGCCTTTCGGGGCCCTCGCCGGGCCTCGGGACCGTCAAAAAACGACTCGGGATGAAAAACCGGTCCCAGGGAAGTGGTCGGGAGGTCGGGGGCCCGCGTCTCGAAAAAATCGAGACGTCGGATGTCTGGGGACACGTTGGGCCAGAGACACGTCTGGCAGCACCGGCCCAGAAGGCGGCGGTGCCGCCCATCACTCCCTGAACCTCTGCCAGGGCGCGCCCGGACCTGGACTCCGGGGCGAATCTGGCCGTGGCGACCAGAAGCCCCAAAGGAAGCGAAGACAAGGCAGGGGGGTAACTACACCTTCGGGCCTCCGCCCAGCGCCTCCTCCTGCCTCCTCGTCCCTCCTCGTCCTCCTTCCTCATCTTCCCTCCCCATCGCACCTCACCGCTCACCACCCTCGAACCTCCTCCTCCTCCTCCTCCTCCTCCTCCTCCTCCTCCTCCACCTCCTGTTCCTCCTCATCCGCCTCCTCCTCCTCCTCCTCCTCCTCCTCCTCCGCCTCCAAGTCGTCGTCGTCATCGTCATCGTCGTCGTCGGAGTCGGAGTCGTCGGACGTCATGACCACCGCCACCACTACCGCCACAACCACCACCACCACCACCACCATCATCATCATCATCATCATCATCATCATCATCATCAACAACATCATCATCACCACCATCATCATCATCATCATCATCATCATCATCAACAACATCACCATCAGCATCAGCAGCATCGCCATCATCATGATCATCAGCATCATCAGCAACACCAGTATCATCATCATGACTAGCATTATCACCATAATCTGGATCAACCACATATGCAGCATCATCATCGTCATCAGCATCCTCATTGTCATCGTCGTCGCACTACTCCTCTCAACAGCACCAGCATTTCCCTCATCATCATCAATGGCATCATCATCTGCATCATCAGCAGCACCATCCTGCTCATCATAGTCATCGCCGTCGTCATCGCCATCCTCATAATAATCATTATCAGCATCACCATCATCATAACCATCATGATCATACTCCTCATATGCATCGTCGTCACCATCATCGTCATCATCAGCCTCATCATCCGCATCACCATTATTCTCATCATCATCATCATCTTCCCATTGTTCAGTATCGTCGTGCGTGTCATCATCGCCGTCAGCATCAACAGCATCAGCATCATTAGCATAATCGTCACAGCATGGCCATCATCAACATAGTCATGATATGCATCCTTACCCTCATACTCGTCATCAGCATCATCAGCAGCATGGTCATCATCACCATTATTACCATCCTCATCAGTATCAGCATCACCATTGTCATCACCAGTTTCATCGTCACCATCGTCAGCATCATCATCATCAACATCATCAGCATGAGCTTCTGCCTCATCCCAATCCGGATCCTCAGTCTCATTATCATGATCATTAACACGAGCATCATCACAATCATAAGTTGCACCATCATCATCATCACTAGCAGAAGCGTTCTCCTCCTCCCTCTTCCCCCTTCTTCCTCCTCGTCCCTCCTCCTCTTACTTGGCTCCAACCATAGCTTCCTTGCAAAATCTCATGGAGAAATATTCGCAAGAGTGCCATGACCGTGTTACGCCCTAGCCACATAATGGTATCACTGGGACCTCAGACCACCGACGTTGACCTCCAGGAGACCATGAGATGACCCTGAGATGACCCCGCATCGTCTGAAGATGGCTTCAAAAAGGCCCCAACGCAACAATAGTCCTTGAACTAAAGACCCCATCGTACGCCGCGCCGATCCCTGCACGACGGGATCCGTGAACGACCCTGGAATCTGGGTTCCCTTATTTTTGATTGATGAGAGTTTGGACGGGCTGAACTAAACTGATGTCATTAAAAGGGACCAAGGTAGACGGGATCCCGCCCGGCCCACGGCAGAAGACTACATTGCTAGGCTGCTACGGGACTAGGGGGTTCAGAAAGGACGTCATCTACTTCCGCTGTATTCTGCAAGCTTTCCGCCGTCTTCCGCACCGTTCTGTTTCCGTCGACTTCCGCGGACGTCCATCACTTCCGCTGTCTTCTGCAGGCCGTCCGCCGTCTTCCGCCCCGTTTTGCCTCCGCCGACCTCCGCCAGTCCTCGCCGCGACCCCAAACTCTCGAGGAGCTTCTTCCCCGGGCCGGTGTGGGGCGGGGCTCCTTGGTGGCCAGGGACCCGAACGCCTGGTCGCCCCGCAGGGTCTCCAGGCAGATGACCGCCCCGGGCGCGGCCGCCGGGCTGCCGCCCTCCACCCGCGCGCGGAAGAGCGGCGTGCCGTCCACGCAGCTGCGCACCGTGTGCAGCAGCGCCCCGCCGTGCCCGCGGCGCGCCGAGGGCGCGGCCTGCAGCGCGCAGTGCAGGGCGGAGCGGGCGGGCACGACCAGCTGCGGGCAGAGCCAGGCGGGGTCCTGGGCGGCCGCCCGCCGCTTCCTCCACGCGCGGGAGGCATCCCGTGCACAGCGCCGCCGTGCCTGGGCGAGGGCCCTCCCGGGGCCCTTGCTGGCACGGTGCGGGCGCCCCCTGGTCAAAAGCAAGACGGCGCCTGGACGAGGATCGAATCGGGCGAGGATGACTCCAGCATCTCTGAGATCCGGCGGCTTTGAGGGATGTCTCGGGCGCCGCGGCCTTCCCAGAGCGTTCCAGAGCGCTCTCAGCGCATTCTGGAACGCTCTGGAACGAGTGTATCATCGTCAAACGAAGTTCTGAATACTGATCGACGCGCGAAACGCGGCCCGCGGGGTCAAACGTTTGTGTTTGCAGCCGCTAATTTCGGCGCGAACGTTGAAATGTTCGGGGCCCTGGGGCGCCGCCACGTCGCGGGAAAAACTTGCGTTTGATTTCGAGGAGGGGCGCAGCCCCGTCCAAGTGTGGACGCCTCCTCGTTTGCACGCCATCGTGGGGCCCATGATGGCCCTCGCCGGGCACGGCGGTGGTGCACAGATGCCGCCGGCGGCTCCTCGTGAAGCGGTCGTTGGAGGAGGACGAAGATGACGAGGGGAGGCGCGAAGAGAAGCGCGAGGATAAACGCGAGGAGAAGCGCGAGGAAGGCTGGGGCGGCGCCACATCGCGCGCCCTGGGCTGGGCGCTGGCCCGCAGCTGCTCCTGGAGGGACAGGACATTGCATAAGCATGTTGGCCAGCATGGCCCCCAAATAATATGTTCTAGCATACTATGTGGTGCAAGGGTTGTGGTGCGATCTACCGAGCCTCGCATCGTTTCCCATTCGCAGATTTACGTAGCACCCCGCAATTGCGGATAAGAGTGAGGGGGCGGGCGCGGGCGACGCGGGCGTCGAGCCGGCGGACCTCGTGGCCCTCACGAATGCAATAGAAGCCTGGAACGAATGCAAAAGAAACCCGCCGCAGGCGCCGAAAATTTTGGGTGGGTCGCGGGGTGGGTCGCGGGTGGGTCGCGGGGTGGGTCGCGGGTGGGTCGCCAGTGGGTCGCGGGTGGGTCGCCGGGGGGGTCTCGGGGTGGGTCGCGGGTGGGTCGCGGGGTGGGTCGCGTGTGGGTCGCGGGGTGGGTCGCGGGTGGGTCGCGGGGTGGGTCGCGGGGTGGGTCGCGGGGTGGGTCGCGGGGCGGGTCGCTGGTGGGACGACGACAACAACAAGCAACAAGCAACAAGCAACAAGCAACAAGCAACAAGCAACAACAACAACAACAACAACAACAACAACAACAACAGCAACAACAACAACACCAACAACAACAACAACAACAGCAGCAGCAGCAACAACAACAACAACAACAACAACACTAACAGCAACAACAACACGAATCCGCATCGCGGAATTCCGCTTCAGCCACGCACCCAGGGACAGTGAATGACCGTTCGGCTCAGCCCCCTCATTCTGACCTACATATACCTGAATATAAAGGGGTATGTAGTTCGAACAACATGTGTATATATGCAAGTATATATATGTATATATGGTGGGAGCTATGTGGTGCACTGTGCGTGGTGCAATCGATGTGGTGCAAAACTTGGTGTGCAATCTACGTGGTGCAACTTACGTGACGCAAGCTATGCGCTGCAATGTATAATGTGAACTCTATGTGGTTCAATATGTGTGGGGCACTGTATGTGGTGCAATTTGCGCGGTGCAATATCTGTGCGGTGCACCCTGTTTGGTGCAATTTCTACGTGGTGCAACCCATGTGCTGCATTCGACGTGTTGTGAGTTACATGCTGCGGTGGAGAATATGTGGTGCAAGCTGCGTGGTGCAATCTGCTGCGGTAGAAGTGCAGTTCCTTGAATTCTCAGATGGGCATCGCGCGGGGCACATGGGGCAGATCGATGCGCTCGCGCGTTCGGACTGTGGCCCATGATGACTGTTTGCCTGTGACCGCCACGGCCGCTCTCATCACGACCATGGTCACGCTGTTGACGGCCATCAAGTTGATGGTGTCGATCGCAATCAATACCATAACGATGAGCACCACCATGCTGATATGACCATGGGGACACATGTCATGATGATGGACCATGGTCATCAACATCATGATCATGATGAAGACGAGCGTCCCCCCATCCCTACTTAAACTCCTAGCGGAGAGGCGCTGCGGCGGGACGGGACTCGGTCTCGTCTTCGGGCATAATTAAAATCATATGCTCATACCATGATGAATCAAACGCCGGCCCTAACAAAAGGCGGGATCAAATCCCACCCGCCCCGTCAAGTCCCGTTTCGAGGTCGATCAAGTCCTAGCCGGGTTGTAGACCTCATCGAACTTTATTCTCCCTGGCGTATGTGATACAATGTATGTGACGGAATGTATACGTGGTGTACACAATGTGGTGCAATCTATGTGGCGCGAGCTACACTCATAACTTGTGTTGAAAATTCTTCGATTAAGAAATCGAGACCCCGCTTCGCTGAATTCCTTGACCCTCTGGCGAAAGCCATCTTTCGAAGCGAATTGAAGCACAAGCCCCCGGCGCAACCCCCCAGCGCAACCTCCCCGCGCACCCCCCCAGCACAGACCCCTACCAAAACCCCCCAGTGCAACCGCCCAGCACAACCCCCCCCGTACACCGCATCCCCCCCCCAGCACAACCCCCCAGTGCAACCCCTCAGCACAGGCCCCGAGCACAATCCCCCAGCACAGCCCCGCAGGACAACCCCCCTAGCGCAACCCCCCACCTGGCACCGACCCTCCCCTAGCGCATCCACCACCAGCATGAGCGCCAGCACAACCACTACCAGCACAACAATCACCAGCGCCACCACCACCAGCGCAACCACCAGCACAACCACCAGCACGACCACCAGCACAACAACCATCAGCACAACCACCACCAGCATAACCACCAGCACAACAACCATCAGCACAGCAACCACCAGCACAACCACCACCAGCGCAACCACCAGCACAACCACCGGCACGACCGCCAGCGCTACCACCATCAGCACAACCGCCACCAGCACAACCACCAGCACAACCACCAGCACAAACACCACCAGCACCACCACCACGAGCACAACCACCAGCACCACCACCAGCACAACCACCACCAGCACAACCACCACCAGCAGCACAACCACCACCAGCACAACCACCACCAGCACAACCACCAGCGCAACCACCAACACAACCACGACACCCACGAGCAGAACCACGAGCACAACAGCCAGCAACACCGCCACGAGCACCACAACCAACACAACCACCACCAACACAACCGCCAGCGCAACCACCACCAGCACACAACCGCCACCAGCACAACCACCACCAGCACAACAACCAGCACAACCACCACCAGCACAACCACACCAGCACGACCACCAGCACAACCACCATGAGCACGACCACCACCACAACCACCGCGAGCACGACCGCCAGCACAACCACCAACACGACCGCCAGCACAACCACGACACCCACGAGCAGAACCACGAGCAGAACCACGAGCACAACCACCAGCACAACCACCATCAGCACAACCACCATCAGCACAACCAGCACCAGCCCAACCACCACCAACACAACCACCATCAGCACAACCATCAGCACAACCACCACCAACACAACCACCATCAGCACAACCACCACCATCAGCACAACCAGCACAACCAGCACCACAACCACCGCGAGCACGACCGCCAGCACAACCACAAACACGATCACCAGCACAACCACCATCAACACAACCACCAGCACAACCACCATCAGCACAACCACCATCAGCAGCACAACCAACACCAGCACAACCACCACCAGCACAACCACCACCAGCAGCACAACCGCCAGCGCAACCACCAGCACAACCACCATCAACACAACCACCACCAGCACAACCACCAGCACCGCCACCAGCACAACCACCAGCACGACCACCATCAGCAGAACCATCACCAACACAACCGCCGGCACAACCACCAACACAACCATCAGCACAACAACCGTCAGCACAACCACCACCAGCACAAGCACAAACACAACCACAAGCACAACCGCCAGCACAACCACAATTAGAACAAGCAGCACCAGCACAACCACCAGCACAACCGCCAGCGCAGCCACCAGCACAACCACAATCAGCACAACCACCACCAGTACAACCACCAGCGCAACCACCAGTGCAACCGCCAGCACAACCGCCAGCATAACCACCACCGGCACAACCACCGCCAGCACGACCACCGTCTCCGTCTCCGTCTCCCGTTCGATGGCCGCCACGAGCGAACGCGGGGCGGGCCGGCATACCTTCAAACAATCCTCAGCCAGATGGGGGAGGACGACAGGTGAAGGGAGGTCGCTGCCGGTGAGACGCCAGAGGCGGGGGGGGGGGAGGGAAGGGGAGGAACGATGTGGTCAAGACAGGGCGGTGATTCAATAGACGCGTCAAACATCAATGCGAGGACGGGGTAGGGGGGGGAGCGGAGGCTTGTCTAGACCGGGCAACAGCAGGAGAAAACAGAAAAACACAGCTCCTTCCTACTTCCCTCCTTCCCCCCTCACTCCTCCGTAAAGAAAGGCGGGTAAATGGTGAATCGCCGACGCGCGGAAAGAGAGGCGCTGGCGCTGGTCCTGAACGGCAGGGCCGCAAATACCAGCAGTCATGCGTGGCCCCCCCCGTTGGCCCGCCCCCGCGGAACCCCTGTATCCAGGGGCGGGCATTGGCCCGCGCCACACTAGGCGCCGGCGTCGGCCGCCTCAGGGCGCCGCCGCCCCAGGCGCCGCCGCCGCCGGGGGCGCTGCCCCACCCGCGGGCGCCGCTGCTCCGGCCGGCGCGGCCACCGCGCCCCCTGCAGCGGCGACGGCCGCTGGCGGGGGGGGGCGGCCAGCGGTGGTCCACCCGCAGCGGGGGCCGCCACCGGGGCGCCCCTGCCGCCCTGGCCGCTCCTGCCGCCCTGCACCACGCCTCCGGCGCCATTGCCGCGGCCAGCCTTGCCCTTAGGCCTTGCCCTTCCGGCCCCTGGCCTTGCCCTGCGCCTTGCCCTGCGCCTTGCCCTGGCCCTCTCCCTTGGCCTGCCAGGCCCGCTGACGCTCATGCTCCGTCCGCCCCAGGCACAGGGGCCGGCGCGTGGGCGGGGCGGACCTCTCCACAGCCATCGGGGCCACGCCCCCGACCGGCAGGCCGGAAGCCCGACGCAATGCGACCCAAGGGGTGGTCCAGAGCCGCCACGGCCTGCTGCGCCCCCAGGGGGGCCGCCCCGAAGTGGAGCCGCACCCGAAACACGCCAGGGATCCTGACACGACTCTGGGCAGCGTTGTCCCACTTGCTCTGTAACCGCCTGAACTGTACCACGCTGCCAGAACTCGTCCAACATTGAACGAACCCACGTCAGCTCCTCTGAGTGCTCACCGGCGGGCGCCGCGGCGTCGGCGGCTGGCAAGGGCCAGGGCACCGACAAGTGAGCGGCCAGGCCTGCCCGATCGCGTCTGGCACCGCTTCGCGCAGCTCGCGGCACTGCGCCGTCTCACCGTGCGCCATCCAGGCCGCTTCCACCGGAGGGAAGCCTTCGAGCTCCAGGCTCGTGGACCGCGAGAGCTCCTCGACCTGGCCGACAGCCCGCGCAAGACGTTCCTGTGAACGTCTGGCGCTCCTCGAGGCTCTGCAGGCGGCGGTCGGTCTCGGCCATGCGTGTAGCGGCCA